CTATTTAACTCTGCCATTGTACTGTGAAAGCAGTCACAGGCAATAAATAAACAAATGGTGCTACTGTATTCCAATAAAAGTGTATAAAAGATATTATGACAGGCAGATTTGGGCCCTGGGTGGTAGTTTATAGACTCCTGATCTACCATGCACCTTAAGACTCTAGAAAAACAAAATTAAGCAAACCTGAAATAAAAAAAGGAAATTTTAAAAAAGTAATATTTGATGTAATTAAAACAGAAAAAGAAGTAATGAATCAAACACCTACTTTCTGGAGGGAAATTACAGTATTGAAAAAAATCAATGGTACTCTACTAATGCTAAAATGAGAAAAGGCATAAAATATTAATAACAAATTCAAAGATGAAAGAGGAAACATCATTAGAGAGTTCCTACAAGTATTTGAAAATAATAAAATTATGAAAAACTTTATGACAATAAATCTTACAAAGTAGATAAAATGGCTGAATTTTGGTCACAAATGACCAAAACTGATGTAAAAAGAAAACAGAAAATCTGAATAGTCATCTAACCACTGAAAGAGTTTATAAAACATCCTCGGTAAAAAAAAAAAAAAAATTTCCAGAGATTGCTTCATTGGTGAAATCTCAAACATCTAATAATAAATAACACGAAAGCTACAAGTAGTTGCAAAGACAAGATGGTCGATCTGAATGCAGAGTTCCAAAGGATAGCAAGGAGAGAAAAGAAAGCCTTCTTAAGTGATCAATGCAAAGAAAGAAGAGAACAATAGGATGGGAAAGACTAGTGATTGCCAAGAAATTAGAGATACCAAGGGAACACTTCATGCAAAGATGAGCACAATAAAGGACAGAAATGGTATGGACCTAACAGAAGCAGAAGATATTAAGAAGAGGTGGCAAGAATATACAGAAGAACAATACAAAAAAGATCTTCATGACCCAGATAACCACCAAGCTGTGATCACTCACCTAGAGCTAGACATTCTGAAATGTGAAGTCAAGTGGGCCTTAGGAAGCATCACTACAAACAAAGCTCATGGAGGTGATGGAATTCCAGCTGAGTTATTTTAAATTCTAAAAGATGATGCTGTGAAAGTGCTGCACGTAATATGCCAGCAAATTTGGAAAACTCAGCAGTAGCCACAGGACTGGAAAAGGTCAAACCATTCCAATCCCAAAGAAAGGCAATGCCAAAGAATGCTCAAACTACCCCACAATTGTACTCATCTGACATGCCAACAAAGTAATACTCAAAATTCTTCAAGCTAGGCTGCAACAGTATGTGAACCAAGAACTTCCAGATGTTCAAGCTGTATTTAGAAAAGGCACAGGAACCAGAGATCAAACAGCTAACATCCTTTGAATCAGAGAAAAAGCGAGGGAATTTAAGAAAAATATCTACTTCTGCTTCATCGACTATGCTAAAGCCTTTGACTGTGTGGATCACAACAAACTGTGGAAACTTTTGAAAGAGATGGGAATACAAGACTACCTTACCTGCCTCCTGAGAAATCTGTATGCACGGCACGAAGCAACAGTTAGAACCAGACATGGAACAATGGACTGGTTCCAAATCAGGAAAGGAGTATGTCAAGGCTGTATATTGTCACCCTGCTTATTTAACTTAAATGCAGACTACATCATGTGAAATTCCAGGCTGGATGAAGCACAAGCTGGAATCAAGGTTGCCAGGAGAAATATCAATAACCTCAGATATGCAGATGACACTACCCTTATGGCAGAAAGCAAAGAAGAACTAAAGAGCTTCTTGATGAAAGTAAAAGAAGAGAGAGAATAACCTGGTTTAGAACTCAACATTCAAAAAACTAAGATCATGGCGTCTGGTCCCATCACTTCATGGTAAATAGATGGGGAAACAATGGAAACAGTGAGAGACTTTATTTTCTTGGGCTTCAAAATCACTACAGATGGTGACTGTAGCCATGATATTAAAAGACACTTGCCCCTTGAAAGTAAAGCTATAACCAACCTGGACAGCATATTAAAAAGCAGAGACATTACTTTGCCAACAAAGTTCCATCTAGTCAATTAGAAATTTGTTCTTTTAAACTAAAGAAATGGAAGGAAAAGAAGTTACTTATAGTTTGGAAATAACAACACTACAAGACATCTATAGATGATATATAACGCTAGTTGCCATAGATCTATAAATTCCATTCCTTCTTAAAATTTCAGCAAGTTGATTTTAATATGGATATTATCAGTTCAGTTCAGTTGCTCAGTTGTATCTGACTCTGCAACCCCAGTTCAAAAGCATCAATTCTTCTGCGCTCAGCTTTCTTTATAATCCAACTCTCACATCCACACATGACCACTGGAAAAACCATAGCCTTGACTAGATGGACCTTTGTTGGCAAAGTAATGTCTGTGTTTTTTAATATGCTATCTAGGTTGGTCATAGCTTTCCTTCCAAGGAGTAAGCATCTTTTAATTTCATGGCTGCAATCACCATCTGCAGTGATTTTGGAGTCCAGAAAAATAAAGTCAGCCACTGTTTTCCCATCTATTTGCCATGAAGTGATATTGATATACTGAATCTAAAATTTAAATGGAAATGCACAGCATCAACAGTAGTTTAGCCTTCCTTGGAATAAAAAGGACAGGATAGGAAAACAATATTTACCCAGATACTTATCTTTCTTAAACCTAAAAGCTAATTATAACAGTATGTCACAAGGATAGACAAACTCGGCAGAATGGAGTGCCAAAGCAGAATCCATTACATAGGAACATGATTTATGACAAAAGTGGCAGAGCAAAGGAGATAGGAGAGTTTCTCAAATAAATGGTTCTGGGTCATCTTAACATGCATATCACTTCTGCTTCATAAAATTCACAAAACTCAGTTCCAGATGAACTATGCATCTCAATATAAAAAGCAAAAATAAAGCAGCCAGAGGATGTGTTGGGGAAAATTCAGGCAAAGATCTCATCTACAACACAGAAAGTACGAAAACCCAAAAAACTTGATAAACTGGGTTTCATTAAAATTTACAGCCTCTTTTGATGAAAACAGATTCCATAGATGGTATGGAAAGCCATAGTATGGGAGAAGGTATATACATAAAACATATAACCATCAAAGGGCTCATCTTCAAAACGCATAAGGAGAAAAACCTTTACAAATTAAGGAGAAGACAACTCAATGTTTTAAAATGAGTAAGAGATTTTAACAGAGAAATCACAAAAAAGGAAAACCAAAGGACCAATAAATATTGGCCCTTTGTCCATGCCAAAAAGTCCAATTGAGGAACTTACAGTTAAGAATTCTTAAGAATGTTTAAGCATGTAATTAGTTGTTTTGATATTTTAGATAGTTAAGAATTACATAAGATATTACAATATATGATATTACACAAGCTTTTATAATATATAAGAAGGTGCCCGACCTCATTAAGTACCAGAAAAATACAAACAGAAGCTACAGTGGAATGCCGCCGACTCCATGGACATGAATTTGAACAAACTCTAGCAGACAGCAGAGGACAAAGGAGCCTGGCGAACTGCAGCCTGAGAGTCAGACGCAGCCACGGCCTGAACAGCCGCCGCCACTGCGCTTCCACCAAATGGCCAGAATGCAAAAGTGACGCTAAGTAAGTACTGTCACAGATGTAACGAATTAGGCACTTTCGTAAGGTGCTAATTGAGTTTAGTAAACTTGCATCAACCACTCTGGAAAACATTTGGCTTTATCCAGTAAAACTGAACATACACATATGAATCAGCAATTCCACTCAGTTATTTACCCAACATATATGCATACAAACGTGTAGCATACCTAATGTACAAACAGCATTGTTATGTAAAAAAGTAGCATTACTTGTAATAGTGCAAACCTGGAAAATTCCAAATGCCCATCATCAGTAAAACAGATTAATAAATTGTAGTATACACCACTAAGGAATAAACATGAACAAACTATTGCTACATGCAATACAGATAAAATCTCAGAAACATAATGTTGAACAGAAGAAGCCAGAGACAAAAAGAACCCATACTGTGCAATTCCATTCATATAAAATTCAAAAAAGACAAAATTAATCCAGTTTTAAGTCAGTGATGGATTTGAAGAAGAGCAAGAACAGAGTCAGAAAAAGGCACACAAGATGGGGGCTTTGAGCTACTTGTAAAACTCTGTTTCTTGCTTTGAGTGGTGTTGACACAACATCATTCTTTCATTGAGCTTTTATATTCTGTATTTGTGTGATACTTCAATTAAGAACATGAATAAATGTGTGTGTGTATGTGTGTGTGCAATTTAACACCAAGCATGTGGGCCAATCTCTTCTAGGAATGTTCTTTGATGTATGCATGCTAAGTTGCTTCAGTCGTGTCCGACTCTTTGCAACTCCACGGACTGTAGCCCACCATGCTTCTCTGTCCATGAGATTCTCCAGGCCAGAATACTGGGGTGGGTTGCCATTTTCTCCTCCAGGGGATCTTCCCAACCCAGGGATCAAACCTGAGTCTCCCGTGGCTCCTGCATTGCAGGTTGATTCTTTACCACTGAGCCACCAGGGAAGCCCATGTTGTTTGATATGTTACTACAAATCATTTTTATCTATTTATGAAGATACAAAAGTTAATGTTTGGTGGTTCTACCTCCAGTTATATATGTTACATATAACTCTATTCTGAAAGTCTATATTTTAAATTCACCACTCCACCAAAGATGTCCAATTTTATCATGGTGCCACATGTGCATGTTTCCACCTTACATGAAACTGTAACAAGTGCTATATAACAGTGGATTAGAAATTCAGGAAAGAGATCTTGAAAAGCATTCAAGACTTCTCAGTTTAGACTCTGAAACATAATACATGATTTTTACATAATGAATAACTATCTAAAATATCAAAACAATGAAATACATACTTAAACATTCTTAAGAATTCTTAACTGTATCTTTAAGCTTAATGAATACTGTGTTTCACTCTTTTTGAGCTGCAAGGAATGGAGTGAAATGAGTGAAAAAAAACTATTAGTTATGTATACCTCATGTTTTCAGCTGAATCTTCTGGCATTGGAGCAACAGTTTGTACAGCTGGAAGGTTTTTGCTGGTAGCACCATTCACAAAACTAGAAGACGAGGAAGAAGATGAAGACCCCGAATCCACGGCACCTGTTCCCAAAATAATAGTTTTTAGCCTTGAATACAAACTTATTAAACAAAATAATTTTCATTACATCATTACTGAGTTTGAAAAAAAAAATTCATCTGAATTTCAAAATAGAATTAGGCCATTAAAAAAATCATTTGGCCAAAGGAACATTAATAACTATAATTATTAAAAATAGCTATTGCATTGAAACAGTTTATTTACTTATGCTAACAAAACTACAGATTACAAATGGGGCATAAATAAAAGACATCAACAAATGAAAACAATTTTAGATAAAATGAGGCTGATAAAACAAAGCAAATTTAGATGTGAAAATATTATCTGCTTTTTTATTGCGATGTTGTTATACTTTTAGTTTTCATCATTTAAGATATAATTAGCAATAAACTGTCTCAACATAAATTTGTGGCCCTGCAGCATCAATGCTTATTTTAATAATATGATAGCTTAAGAAGGGCTATAATAAGTATATTTGTACCCAATTTTAAATAATGAGTTTCCTCAACGATATGAAGATGCCATTTTAGAACAGATTTTCCTGTATTATACCATATAAGTATATTAAATAGCTGTGGAGTTGAGGGACATCTAGTGTTCCTAAATGTTATCTTATCTTTATCGTATCTTACACTAATACCCATAAAACTTGGATTTCACAACAACACTTACACAGCATGTTTGTGCCAAAATCTAAACTAGTTTTGGGTCCAGTTTAGATGCTGACCCTCAGTTTATTTGTGTGTGTGTTTTTGTGTATCTGTGCATATATATTTCTAAGGAGGATATTCATTGCCTACATTTTTATTGTAATATATGTTTTCTACTATCACTAGACCTTGGGCTACCATCACTTTCTAAATCTATTATTAATTAATAGAATAGAAATTCAAGGAAAATATCATACCTTGTTTCAAATAAAGATAAAAAAGAAATTATTTGCTTTTTACTCTTAAAAGTAAGAATTTAGTCCATAAACACCAAATGCAGATTTTTTTTTCCTACTACATTGGCTTTTTTTTAAAGTTATTAACACTTTTCTGAGTTTACATTTTGGTAAAAGGAAAACGTTTTTATTCCTTCTTCTAGAAAGCAGAATGAGTATAAAGAGTAAGACTATAAACTAGATAGAAAAAAAAAACTTTATAAACAAGTCAGGTATAAATACTTGTTTTAATATGTATAAATCAAAAATGTTTTGTTCTTTAACACAATGCCATTAATGATGTTTATTTGCTAACATAAATACGCTTCATAGAGTACATTCTACTTACTACAACCCCATAAGTGTGCTGTTCATGATGTGTCAGGACTCAGGTGGTATGATAAACAAGATAAATACAGAAAGCAAAAAGAGCTATGAAATTAATAAAAATGGGAATAATCTAAGTAATGATAATAGATGGAAAAGTTCAAGGCTATACAGTTTGGAGAAGAGAAGGCTACTATAGTCAGGGAAGGAAAGTCAGGGATCATCTTGCGTTGTGTAAATACCTAAAATGGAATCACAAAGATTTGGGTAAGGATTTATTTAGCTAATAATCAACAGGAACATTTCTGGAAATTTACAAAAAAAGAAAAAAGTTATTTTAGGCAGGCTTTTAAAATTTGTAGTGATTTGGAATTTTTCTGTTTCTAGAATTTTTAGGAAAATGTTGGATAATGAATGGATATAATTGTAATCTAAGTATATAAATTAATACAATGTCAAACAATGGTTCTTATTCACATGCACTTTTTGTTAAGTTGAGGCTCTTGCATATCGTCAAGGTTCTTAGGGGAGCTTTGTGAAAAGTATATATTAGGTTTCAACCAGAAAATGTCACTAAATCCATTTGCTGGCACTAATATATATAGTATATTTTGATTTCTTGATACAGTTTACTAATTTTTACATATCAAATGTCAGTGTTCAAATTATCTCTTGGCTTTGCTCCCCAAATATCCTTCAGCAATCTGAGTTCACTATGAAAGTAAACAGCATCTTGTTTTGAGAAGACTCAAAACAAAACCCATAGTGTTCTCAAAAAGTGTCTAAAAAGTTTACTCTAGAATTACAAAATCTGAAAACATTAAGAATTATCTTCTTAAAGATTAAAATAATCTTAAAATGATCATAGTATTTTAATTTTTTAAGATCAAATCAGCAGAAAAAATGAAGATACAGAAAACAGAAAGAAAAAGATGAAGTATCACAAAAATAGATAAGGACAATACCTGTTGTATTAATCATACTTTTTGGTGTAGCTCCAGTAGCAGCAAATATATTAGAGGTGCTGCCTGCTGGCAGCCCACTTCCAGCAGCAGTGGCTCCTACAGTGGTTACAGCTAAGCTACCCGGAGGTGGCTTCTTAACAGGGACCACAACACTCCTGCAAAGCAATGATGAAAAATAACATAATGTCTAAGATGAATTCTAATCTTGCATTGGCAGATACATGTAATCAACATCAAATTATCTTTTAGAAAACATTTTTTTGATGTGGACCATTTTTAAAGTCTTTACTGAATGTATTACAATATTCCTTCTGTTTTACATTTTGGTTTATGAGATCTTAGCTCCCTGAACAGGGATTGAACCTGCACCCCCCTGCATTTGCAGGTGAAGTCTCAATCACTGGACCACCAGGGAAGTCCTATCATCAAATTTTCTCCTCTTTCTTTTTCCTTTTTCTGACTGCAACTTCACTGGTGAAAAGAATATAGACATTGAGGATATACTGTAAAGTGTTAACTATTATTTATTTGGCAAATATTTACGTAGAATGTAGGATCTGGACACCTTTTTTAAAGATGACATGTGGTCTATAATCACAACCCTAGGAAAATGTGAAAAAGGTGTGCTCTAGTTAGAATATTTTTCATATATGCACATAGGGATTTTCTGTAAATATACAAAGTGTCCATCGTATCTCTATTACATTCTAAATGTGGAAAATAGTCATAAAAACATTTGAAAGCCAAATTCTGAACTTCTTCACAGTAAAGCTAGATATTAAGGCAAAGAATACAAAGTGGTTCAGTGCTAAGGAGTCTGCCTGCAATCCAGACGACATGGGTTTTATCCCTGAGTTGGGAAGATCCCCTGGAGAAGGAAAAATACTCCAGTATTTTTGCCTGAGAAACCCCAAGGACAGAGGAGACCGTAAGGTTACTCATGAGGTCACAAAAGAGTCAGATACAACTTAAGAGACTAAACAACAACAAATAATAAAATTAAACTTTATTTCCCTGAATAAAATTGAGTTTTTTTTCATAATAGGTATGCTATTATAATGAAAGAGAAATGAGAGGATACACTGGACATTTGGTAAAAGATCTCTTTAGATTTCAAACATTGACTTTGTGAGCTTAGAAGGTGAAATGTTCTCATGTTTCTTTAGCATATTTAAATGAATTTCATTAGAAAAAATTCTGAACTTAACATTTGTGTTAACATTAAATAATAAATATATGTGAACAGTGAATTTAAAAGATAAAGAAACTATTTGTTTAACATAATAAATATTTTTACTTTCATTCAGTGAAGCTTCATCTTTCTCAAAGTTTACAGTACACCAACTCTATTTAATAAATACTTTCAAGCATTACTCATTTATCTTGAAAGTAGATGTATGAGGTATTTTAAGTTCAAATATAATGCTTGAAAACAAGTGAATGTCAGCAAAAATATATCCAATCTAAATTAGGTCTTTTTAAAGTACTGTCTTTGAGATGTTATTTTATTTTTTTGGCTGTACCAGGCCTTTAAATAGAGGCATGAGGGCTCTCAGTTGTGGCAGGCGGGATCTAGTTCCCTGACAAGGGATTGGACCCAAGCCTCCTACAATGGGAGCATGGAGTCTTAACCACTGAACCATCAGGGAAGTTCCTAAAAGAGACCTTTTAAACTAGGTCTTTTAGATTGTAAAGAAAAATTTAATTTTCTCATTAAAAAGCTCTATTTAAAGGAAAATGAATCAATGACTCATTGACAAGTCTATGGCTTAAACTTCTTTAATATCAACAATGTTTAAAAGAACAATGACTTCATCAATGTAAAAAAATCTAAATTTATAAGGATTATTATTTTCAATTTCAGGGGCATTTAAAATATTTTTGTGACCATAGTAATTATAATGTTAGATAATTTTAACCTCTGCCCTCCCAAATTCTTCCATTAGCTCTTTCTGGATACTTTTTTCTTTTCTCCTTAATGGATAGAGTCAATTCATTAGACTCAACCTTGTACTTTCAACTATCCTATTAAATTTCCAAAAACACACACTGTGCTTTCAATCCCTTCATTGACCATTCCTGATTGAATACTTTATTTCACTAAGAGGTGGTGTGACATTATGGAGAGTGTACAGGATGTGGAGTTAGAAGATTAAGGCTTGAGAACCAAATCACTTCAAGCTATGTGGTATTAAATTTCAGTTTTTCAGTAAAAATGGCAAGGCAAATGTGACTTATTTCACATATACCTGTATAAATTAAATGAGACTGTATTTTAAAGAACCGTGTCAAATTAAGAGATGCCTTATAAATGTTAATAATTGTTACTACTTTCTAAATTGAAATAACTCTCTGCCTGTAAGATAAGGTATTTATTTACAATGATATACATAAGGATCAATAGAAAAGAAACCAAACTAACATTCTGGATTTATCATCAAAACTCTTCCCTAAACTTATAAACTATTTCACTGACTAGCTAGCAAGAAAACAAAATTAACAATTCTTGATTTGAAAAGAAGTAAAGCTATCAGTTTTTCCTCTAAATCTCTCATTAGAATTCCTATGGATAAAAGAAAGAAACACAAACTGACTGATAGTGCTTTGAGATGTATTTGTAAATGGTACAAAAAATAAATATATATATTGCCAAAAGTTTCCTGATTAACTGATCATTACCAACTTTGTACAAACTCTCTATAACAAGGCATCTTGTCAAGAACTGACGCTCTGAGATGTGTATTAAGAAAAATGAGTTATATGAATCAGGGAAAAGAGTTTCATCTCAACAACTTGCACTGATGGCTTGTAAATGAATGCAAACAACATTAAATGTCTTCCCACTGAAAGAAAACTTCTGAAAACATCTGATTTAATATTCAGTTCAGTTCAGTTCAGTTCAGTCGCATCCAACTCTTTGTGACCCCATGAATTGCACCACGCCAGGCCTCCCTGTCCATCACCAACTCCCGGAGTTTACTCAAACTCATGCCCATTGAGTCATTTTAATTTCTTGGCTGCAGTCACCATCTGCAGTGATTTTGGAGCCCCCCAAAATAAAGTCTGACACTGTTTCCACTGTCTCCCCATCTATTTCTCATGATTTAATATTACCTGACATTAAAGCCTCTAGACACTTCACTGACAGCAAACTCAGCAGTATGGTAGTTACTACGACATGGGACATAAATAGAGTACACAGTGATAATGTTAGACAGATATGAGTTAGAATTCTACCTCTAAGGTATCAAGCAAGTAAATTCTCTAAGCCCCATTCTCCATACCTTTAAAATGAGACTCATAATAGCTTGCACCTCATAAAATTGTTACAAAGATAAAATGATATACCATTAATACATATCAAATGCTTAGCATTTTACCTGGAACACTGTAAGTGGTCCAAAAAGCTTAGCTATCATTAGTACTGCTATGGCTCTCAAATGACACCACTCTATGGCAGAAAGTGAAGAAGAACTAAAGTCTCTTGATGAAAGTAAAGAGGAGAGTGAAAAAGTTGGCTTAAAACTCAACATTAAGAAAACTAAGATCATGGCATCTGGTCCCATCATTTCATGGCAAATAGGTGGGGAAACTGGAAACAGTGAGAGACTTTATTTTGGGGGGGCTCCAAAATCACTGCAGATGGTGACTGCAGACATGAAATTAAAAGATACTTGCTCCTTGGAAGAAAACCTAGACAGCATATTACAAAGCAGAGACATTACTTTGCCAACAAAGGTCCATTTAGTCAAAGCTATGGTTTTTCCAGTAATCATAAATGGATGTGAGAGACTATTAAGAAAGCTGAGTGCTGAAGAACTGATGCTTTTGAACTGTGGTGTTGGAGAAGACTCTTGAGAGTCCCTTGGACTGCAAGAAGATGCAACCAGTCCATCCTAAAGGAGATCAATCCTGAATATTCTTTGGAAGGACTGATGCTAAAGCTGAAACTCTGATACTTTGGACAGCTGATGTGAAGAACTGACTCCTTTGAAAAGACCCTGATGCTGGGAAAGATTGAAGGTGGAAGAAGAAGGGGGCAACAGAGAAGGAGATGGTTGGATGGCATCACTGACGTGATGGACATGAGTCAACCCCGGGAGTTGGTGATGGACAGGGAAGCCTGCCGTGCTGCAGTCCATGGAGTTGGACACGACTGAGCTACTGAACTGAACTGAACTGATGGCTCTCAAAAGTGCTGATGCAATCTGGGTCTACAACAGCAACAGTATCTAGAGTGAAAGAAGCAATAACCCTGATACATTCTGTGCCTTTCAGACCTCATAAAATCCTATGTGCAGTTTTAGACACCATATTTCAAGAACAACAACAAAAGCATCATGTTTATAAAAGAATAGTTAGAATGACAGTAGATCTAGAACACAGGTCGTTGGTCAAGAAAGACTGAGAGTCTAGAAAACTATGGTAAAAAATCTTAAAGGTCTTGAAAAAAATCTTAAAGATCACCATTAACTAGTTATGTGAATCTTATAAAAAGTATACTATTTTATCTGCACAACTAAAGAACTGTCTTAAGTGTCAAGTGAGATATTGAAGATAAGAAATGGCTTTTAAATAGTGACTTAGTAAGAAAAGACTTATAATTACTCATGGATTTTAAAACAACTCCTTTCTTCTTTCCACTTGCTCCCTCTTTTTTTTTTCATTTATTTTTATTAGTTGGAGGCTAATTACTTTACAATATTGTAGTGGTTTTTTGCCATACATTGACATGAATCAGCCATGGATTTACATGTGTTTCCCATCCCGATCCCCCCTCCCGCCTCCATCCCTATCACTTGCTCCCTCTTTTCTGTAACACTTATTGAACACTGAAAGGTTAAGGGAATACAGCTACACTGACAAGTCAAGGGATACATAAGACAAGTTAAGACATAACCCATGCCTTAGAGATACTTGAAAAAAAATACGAGAGACAAATAAATCAACTGTTCAACATATTTCAGTAACCACTCTGATTAGAGTTAGGCACAGGAACTTTCAGAAACATAAAGGATGAACATTATCAGGGAAGAGTAAACTGAATCAAAATAGATCAGTGGGAATAACCTAAGAAGAGAAAAGTTCAATAGCATAAACTTCTTAAGGCAAAGAGAGCTGAAAAATCATAAAAGATTGAAGAACTATAGATCATCATAGCTAGTGAAAGGTGAGGACTTTCTATTTCAAACTAAGAAGTTCATCTTTTATTGTGTAATAACAAGATATTATTTAGAAATCTTCATGAGATTTACATTTAGGAAAAACATTTCTAGCATAAATGTGGAAGGTCCATTTGGCAGGGCCACACCTGGAAAGCAGTGAGGCCAGCTGAAGATAACAGAAGGGACACGCTTCAGAGATGCCAAGAGCCTAAAGTGAGGTAATAGCTTTGAAAAAGGGCATGCAGAATCTTTTCTATGTTCAGGTCTTTTAACCAAGTTAATAGTCATCTGCTACTTTTTGAAACTAATTATAAAGCCATCTCATTTATTCCAGGATTTTCATACTTTATGGGACTTTCTGGAAATAATGTATTATCTTCCATGTTGGGAAACTGAGTCCCAGAGAACCAAAGAAAATAGATAAGGGTCACACAACTAATCACAAAGAGACCCACTACTAAGAGCCATTTCTCCTAAATTCTATATTATTACTATTTTTCTGATAAGTTTTACTGACGTTAGACATTTATCTTGGAAGAAAAGAAATTAAACTATGAAGAAAAAATTATTATTTCTGATTTTAAGGTGATATTACAATTTACTGAAGCTCATTAGAAATTGCAAGTCTATCATTTTCATGATTTATTAATTGCCACTTTGTAAAAATATTTAGAATACCATTAGAAAAATAGGATGTATGAAAAACAACTATTTCATTAATTAACCCTTTAAAGAGAGATGCCTTTTTCAACTCATTGAACTGTCTGTGGAAATGTCAGGAGAGAAAAAGGCAATAATATTGGGAAAATTAGAATACAACCATGCTGGGTCAAAACTGCATCATCTGGCAGCTGGCCTTAAACTCTATATCCAGGGCACTTGGAGCATAATAAAAGGTGGGATTTCAGTAGCTCAGTATTGTTGAAACTTTGAATTGTAATGGTTGGTAGAGTTTTAATCAATTTAGATTACATTTACCTGCTCATCCTTTAAGTGATATGATCAAAATACTTTCTTAACAAAATATTAGAAAACTGTAAAAATAGAAATTGAAGTACTCAGTAATTATAAGTTTTTATATTCTTACTTAATTCTACGCTTAAAGAAATAAATGAAAAAAAAAGAAATCAATGTAGGAAGATTCCATCATTTCTACAAATTTTTTTTTAAAATTTATCCTAAACTATCATTCTTAGCACTAATATTTAAAGCACTGATGTTAGAAAAAAAAAAAAACTATAGGGAAAATGCCTAGACAAAGCCTATACTTGAAATTTAGTAATATGAAGGCTATCTACATTGCTTTTTAGTCATATAGTATTTACAAAATACTTTTTTTCTTCCAGAGATTTTCTTTTTCAGAGAATGAAACACTGGAAAGCAAGGATACTAAAAGTTTGAGGGGAAAAATACAAACTACTTCATTTGATCATATCAAACCCAGTAATTCAAACATAAGCAGGTCTTTAAAATCAAAAGGGATGAAGTATACACCATAAGATCATTGTCTGTTAGTCAGAGAAGCAACACAATTACAAGCTTTTGGTGATAACCAAGACTAAAAACAATTTTCTGAAATATAATGACAGTTAAAATGTATGGAGACAAACATATTGTCCTCTGCCTTTTTGTTTTTTGTCCAAACTAAGGGGGTGTCTCAGGAATCCGTGGGGAATGAAGACTGAGCTAAATCACAGATATATACACCAAATTCTCAAAAGATTAAAAGCATTTGGACATGCAGGATTAAATTTTAGTTTAAAAGATGTGGTAAAACTTAATGGATGGTTTTAAAGAAAACCATTCCCTCAATCTAAAAGTTATAGTTACTAATACATTAAAAAATAACAACAACACACACAGCTCAGCTAGACTATTTTATAAACTATATATCAATACAGAAATATATCAGAAGAAATAGAATTGTTGAGGAACTTTGCAACTATACTCTAAGTTCTATTATGAGATTATTAAAATGTTCTCTTAGAAATAAAATCATAAGTATTCCTTTTTGCTTCATAGTAATAGAACAGTAGGAAAGTTCTTATAATTTCATTATCACACTTCCTCTATACATACGGTGTTCCCTCTACAGAATAGTACTAGTGGATGTCTAGCAGTTTCAGTGCTTTACAGTCATAAATATAAATTTGTTAGAGTCACTCAGTGAAATCAAAGACATATACTTCAGTCTGCATAGATGATGTCTGGAGGAAATGAAAGAAAAAGAATCAGTGCTTTCCATATATGCAGATGAGAATATTTATATGATGTTTCATAATACCACCCGATGGAAGATTTAATACAAAAAGAAAAGGTTTATTTTAGTTAAGTCTAAATGTTTCTAAATTTTGATGTTGCAATTTACCTAATAAAAATGATATTACAAACTTCAAAATACTGAAATTCGTCAACATGCCATCCTAAGTGAAGAGAAACTCCATATGAAACATGTAACTGAATGTATAACTTATATGACATCAGTTGTTTTAGGAAGTTATTCCCAAACTTACAATCTAAAGAAAATATAAAGAATGCTTCACTAGCATATTTTCAAAAGAACCAATAAACAAATTATTGGCTAAATCAAGGAAAATCCTAGGTGATTTCCACTGGGATTGTATAATATTATTGTGTATGATTTAGTTACAAAGAAATGAGCAACTGGGTTTATAGCTATTTTTCAACCAAAGATAAAAATGAAAAATACATTATTGGTAGAGTAAGACCCAAGATAATTCTGTGTTTGAAACTAAAAGTATTCAGGATTTTGCATCTAAAGTCTGTCTTCTTCGATCCTATTTTCAAGGAAGTCAATCTGATGCTAAAAGACATGTCATAACTTGAATTTCAGATTTTAGTGCTTCAGAAATATGTTTATATACTTTATAATGTAATTATAGCTACTTTAAGACAGACAACACTTTAAGGCAACTGGTAGCAATATATCACAAATATAATTGAAAAATGCAGTTGTCCAGAAGCACTTGTGGGGATGATGTCTCTGAAAAGCTGCTCAAAGCTCCAGAGTTTGAAGTTAAATTTTTGATGTTGTCACTCTCAATCTATTGAATGGCTGACAGACAATCAAACCCGTCTGGCTGGCTGGCAGCTCATTTTGCTGGCAGGTGGCAAACAATTAGACACACCAATTTGTGCCTCCTGATGACATTAAAGCATGAAACTAAGTTGTATGCAGGGCCTAGTGATTTGTGTGAAAGCATTTCAAAAATAATACTCTTTGCCGTGGCAACTCATTTCAGACTGCCACCTCCCATTATGGCTTTGAGCGGTGAAGACGACAGACTTGAGTTACGTGCAGTGCAAGGCCGCTTCTGTTCAATCCGTCATCAGCGCCCCCTGAGACCTCAATCCCCTCCTTTCATCAGTATCACCTCATCATTTACATTTGATAGTACTTGAGCTACTGCATATATTAACTACATTGGAGACCCTTCTTCTAAAAAGAACTGGAATATGCTTTGTGCTCCATGATTTCATTTCTACTTATGCAATTTTGAATAATGATTGCACTCCCACTGCATTTTGCACAAATGCTACTAAGAACAAATGGAAAGTTCTATTTTTTGTAAAGCAATATCCTCAAAAGTATAATAAATTTTGAGTGGCTAAGAATATTGGCACTCAGGTGACAGTTTTGTTAAGTTTTAATGAAAAAAATTGTTCTAACAATAATCCAAATTAGGAAATAAATATTTTACCTAATCTTTATTGCTTTGGATTCTCTTATAAAAATCACAATAATTCTCTTTTTCTATTGCTTGTATGTTAACAAAATTTAGATACAGAGCTTTAAATGGAACATAAAACTTATGATCCCAAATTAAACTATTATAACAGTTACAGATAGATTTATAAATATATACAACTAAAAATACTTATGTGCTTATGCTTATATAAATTCATAAACACACATACACATATCTCTTAGGAATGCAAACTAAATATGAAGTGGCATAGGGAATATCCAAAGAACTATATGAATAAACCTCCAAACTATTAAAAAAAGAAATAATTTCCTATACATTATGCCCCTTCTTTTTGAATTGTTAAAGAATGTCTGATACTTGACACATTTTACCTTACATGACAAATATTTGCAAACATTTTATCTCCTTTAACTACTGTAAGTTCACAGAAAACAAAACTGATTCTATCTCTTTATATCTGACATGATGACTAACGGCATTTATATTTTCACAATAGATTTTCAAAAAGTATCTGCAGGACACTGGTTAAAATGTTTATAGGCAATTTTTAAATCCTGTTTATCTATAAAAAAGACAATGCACCCTAACTGAAAATGCCTTTATTGCCACACCTCAACCCCTAAACTCAAAAAGTACTGGCTCCAACTTGGACAAAGCAGTTTGTCTATTTTAGAGAAAACAATATGGAATAGAAACTGCATTCTGACTGTGTATTTATTTTGACATTACAGTTTAAGAAATATCTGATTTACTTACTTGATTTTTTTCTTTAAAACAAAAAACTATTACTTGTCAATTACCTCACATATATGTATATAGCTATACACAAACATGTACATATATTTATATGTATGTATGTACATAATATAAAAACACACATACGTATAAAATGACTTCTCCAATGTATAGTAATCACTTGACGATAGGTTATAATCAGAATCTGTATTACCCTATTTCCAATTCAATGTGTCATTCCCCATTTCATATTGAAGCCCCTTTTTTGAAACATATAATTAAAATGCCTGACTATGAGATCAATCAGGTTGGCCTATCACTTTGATAGTCTTTGTGGTGAGAATCTACAGTAATAAACATGTTTTCAAGATCTGCCTAATATTTTTAAATTAAACAGACACTAATTTTCCTTCTATACACAGAGCACTATGAATAATAAGTTCAGTACCTACCTGTCAAAGGAATGAAACTGCATAGGAAGAATAGCTTGCGCTTCTCTCTTCAATGCTGGGTCTGGGTATGGGATAGGCTCAGGGCCACATTCTGCAATTTCAACTGGGGCGGCCACAAGACTTTTCAGTATTTCCTTGACATTGATGCCTTTGGTTTGACTAATGCTAGATATGGATGGTGCAGGCTTCAATATTTCACTGGGGTTCTCGGTCAGGCTTTCCTGTGACTTTTTCACTTCATTTGACAAAGTGGATAACAGTTCACTCATAGCATCAGGGCCTGTGCTAGTCTCTAATTCTGCCCCATTCAGTATGTTAGCCACTTGCTCCTCTCCAATTCCTGAATCAGTATGAGGAATGGAACTCTCTAGATGAATATCCTCACCAGGGGTTGGTGTTTCTTTTTCCTTTACAGTGTCTGGGAATGCAGCAGGTGTTTCTATAATGAGAGAAATCAGTGTAAACAAAATGCTTCACAAACGAAAACCCACTGTTATTAGTAAAATATACTCACAGAAGAGAAAAGAAAACCTGTAAGAAACAAAAAATCTGCTAAATGGATGTGCGTAACAACACAACTTGGTTAAAACATCCTATATACACCTGCTATTTTGTTCAATAAGCATCAGCAGAGCCATGTTTCTTTTATAAATTATCTGGCATGTCAAAAGTGATACTTTTATAAACATGGAGAAATAGTTCCTACTATAATTTCTTATAACAGCTTATAAATAATTATTATGTTAAGCTCCCTTTTATCCTTTCATTGTCAGCTACCAATCATGCATTATAAATTATACTCCTCTAATATTTTCCTTAAAATATGAAGCCATTTTAAATATCTTTTTTGGTATTTCAATAACCAGTAATGAAATAACAAATTGAAAAATTTAAACTAAAGGTATTTTTTAAAATTATATGTAATACATAAATCTCTAAAGAGTTAGTTGCAAAAAGCATGTCAAATGATTAGTTCAAAAGGATAAATGCTTTAATAATAGAATAGTGAGTCTCGAGAACTTAACCTATAGATGCCTTTAAGAACAATTATTTTGGAATATTCATAATGATTCTCTATGAATAAATGTAAATTTCAATATGTGGAAATTGAATCACAAATATATATGTATGAAAACATATATAGTATTACCAATTGAAATAGATAAAAAGAAAAACATATTTTAAAATGTTAAATCCCTATCAAATCTCACTATACATAGGCCACTATAATAGAATATTACCAAATTCTAAATGATGACCTTGAAAAATTTATCTAATCTAGTATAGTGGAGGAACTTCCTGGTGGTCTAGTGGCTAAGATTCCACACTCCCAATCCTGGGGACCTGGGAACAATACTTGGTCAGGGAACTATATAGATCCCATATGCTGCAAGAAAAAAAAAAAAGGATCCTGAGCGCCACAACTAAAGATCCCGCATGACACAAAGACTGAAGAGCCCCGGGGCTGCAATTAAGACCCAGTGCCACCAAATAACAGCTTCCCAGGTGGCTCAGTGTTAAAGAATCTGCCTGCCAATGCAGGAGACATGAGTTCAATCCCAGGTTTCCTGGAGGAGGAAATAGCAATCCACTCCAGTATTCTTGTGTGGAGAACCCGATGGACAGAGGAGGCTGGCAGGCTATATAGTCCATGGGGTCGGAGAGTTGGACACACCTGAGCATGTACACACAGTCAAACAAATATTTTTTTAAAAGTATCATGGAAATAGTAATAGTGTTTAACTTAATAAAGTTATGCTGAAGCAGAAAATAAGATACATATGTAGATTACTTGCAGTTCCTGCATAAAATAGATATTTAGTAAATGGCAGCTGTTTGTATTACTTTAATAAATAACAGTTATTCTTTATAAAACAAGAAGGGCAAATAACTTATTTTTATGATCTCTTTGAATTTAATATTTTTAAGTTCTATAAAACTAACCTTAGGTGATTTGCTGCTGTTACTGGTTTAGAATTTTATTGGACAAAGAAATTAAAAATATACATCTCTTACAAGTTCATGATATACTGTAATTTTCCTCATATTTATGAACAGCTTTTAGTTTTCCTTGTTTGCTTAGGCAAGGGCTTTACACTACTTTCTAGAATATAATAGTATTAAAACACTGTATGAACAACATGAAAGACAGGTTGTTCTTAGTTGTTCTCAAGGTTAAAACTTCACTGCATAAAGTATTTTTAAGAAGTCAGACACTTTCAGTAGTATTTCTGGCAAAGCAGTAGAGAAGGAAAAAGGTAAGAAGTAAACATAACAATTTCACATTTTTAAATAAAACCTTGTGACAGAAGATTAAGACAGTGTAGAAAAACTACATTAGGAATAAGAAGGACAATAAAGAATCAAGATGCTTCTGGAATATCTAGCTGAAGAAAAAAAATAGGGGTACCTCACTAACCAAAAAAGCACGTGAAAAAGAAGCAAGTTTGTTCAAGAAGATAATGAATTAAATTTTGAATGAATTGAGTCTGCAGAATCTCTAGGACATTTATATCGAGAAGTCAAGAAAACTATAGCCATCTATTTGGGGATGATTAAACCAGACGTGGTAACTGAAACGTTGAAAACTGTTGAAATTACCTAGGAATATAGAATGAGAAGATGGTTAAGTCAGTTATTTCCATGCTTAGAGATACTACTGACTTTACTAAATTCATGTTTACGCTATAGACTATACATTCATGGAGAGAAAACAGTTATAGTAAAAAAAAATCAGGACGGAATTAAATAGCAGTAGTGACATTCCTGAGAAACCGGTATGCAGGTCAGGAAGCAACAGTTAGAACTGGACATGGAAAATGAGTATACTACCCAAAGCAATCTATAGATTCAATGCAATCCCTATCAAGCTACCATCGGTATTTTTCAGAGAACTAGAACAAATAATTTCACAATTTGTATGGAAATACAAAAAACCTCAAATGGCCAAAGCAATCTTGAGAAAAAGAATGGAACTGGAGGAATCAACTGCCTGACTTCAGTCTCTACTACAAAGCCACAGTCATCAAGACAGTGTGGTACTATCACAAAGACAGAAATATAGATTAATGGCACAAACTAGAAAGCCCAGAGATACATCCACGTACCTATGGACACCTTATCTTTGACAGAGGAGGCAAGAATGTACAATGGAGAAAAGACAATCTCTTTAACAAGTGGTGCTGGGAAAACTGGTCAACCACTTGTAAAAGAATGAAACTAGAACACTTTCTAACACCATACACAAAAATAAACTCAAAATGGATTAAAGATCTAAATGTAAGACCAGAAACTATAAAACTCCTAGAGGA